TCACCAGACACCTAGGTTCTCTGGGCTTATTAAAACAGACAAATTCTTTGGTGTTAGAAATTCATCATAAGAACATATATTTTTTCCATACTAGATTAAATTAATGCAGGCAAGTGCCCCAGTCCTCTCCCAGCTATGGTCTGGAGGTATTTCAGCACAAGGAAAAAAATAACCCTTTCCAATTCCTGGCTCAATAAAGCCAATGTTTTCACTGGAGGCAGAAGGATGATTCTTTTCTTGTCCCCACAGTATTCTGCATTTTATCTATATCAAAAGATTTACTTCCTCTTCCATATCCTCTTCTTATATCTTCCAAATAGGAGTCTTCTTCCTAGCTTCCGTGTCTGAGTTGCACTGGTGATTTATATGCTCACTGTCTGTTTTCACAATGTCTTTCCTGGCTGTCTTGTATCTCTCCCCTGTGGAGCACTGGGTCTTAAAATCATTGCAGTAAGGACAGGCAATCAGTCTTCTTTAGATACATATTGGATTTTACTGGTGCCTGAGCATATAGAATGTGCCAGTGTCTTTTGTGGTTCTGGCAGAGAAACCTCAGGAAAGTGTGGAGTTTTGGGTTGGATAACAGAGAAACTGTTTGGGACTTTTTAAAGCAAAGTGTTCTTTATTTATTGTTCTTTTCATAAGATAATGCTGGAATAGATGAGGAAGTTTCAGAAGGAGTTTTGGAACTGCAGGGTGGTGGTTCTGCTCAAAATCACAGAGCCTTATGTTAACTTTGGATTCTGTCTTTGGAAGCAGCCTCGTTGCAAAGTGCAGCTCTGATTCATTCAGATAAAGGATTTAAGAATATAGGAATGGCCACACCATGCAGCCCAAAGGCCTCTCCAGCTGAGCAGCCTGTCTCACAATAGCCAGTAGTAAATGCTTAAGAAATGTGTCTGCCAAATACATACTGAAATTTTCAGTGCCAGTGCAAATTGGAGTCAGTCATGTGACATTTAACATTGTAGTTATTAGTCCTTGATTTTTTTTCCCCATGAAGATTTCTAACCACTTTTCACACAATATAAAATTGTAGCACCTGCAATATCTTGTAAAAAGGATTCACAGAACTTGTGTGTACCTTGTATGAAGTGTCTTGAAAGAAGGATCTCTACTTTGGGCTTGCCAGCTACTATTTTATTTGATAACCTCTAGTTCTTATATGGGAAAAATCCATGAACTGTTACTTCTATCTGCCTTCTTCTTGCCTCTTAGTATTTTATTAGACCTATATTACTTCTCCAAGCAGAACAATCCTGATCTGCCCAACCTTCTTCATATAGAAACTATTTCACACCTTTCTCCTTCGATGAAATTTATCTGAAACAATTCCAATACAGACTCTTGTCTGTATTGTATCAAATGTGCATGGTCTAGCCTCAGGCTACTGTTGGTTTTGGGTTTTTTTTGTGAATAAAGACTTAAATATTAACTGAAGCAAGGTTTTCCCTCTCATTTCAGAAAAGGTGAATGCTCCAGTCACAGAACACATGGCTTCAATGGATCTTTTTTTAAACAAAGGATAGCAGTATTTAATATCCAAAGAAAAGATAGAAGTGTTTGGGATCACCTCTGTAGCCAAAAGTGTTTGGCTTGGACTTTAGGCTGCCTGAATTAGCAGTTATTTCTTTCTGTCTGAAAGAGGTGATAAGGCCTTCTTTGCTTTTCTCTTTGAAAGTTCCTTACTTCATCCCACCATAGCATGAGAGGTGAGGAGGGTAACAAGAAATATAGCATGGGACTGCTAAACAGTCAGCTCTAGCCTTAGCAATGACAAGTGAGACAAAATTACACAAATATTATGTTCTGCCTGAAAAACTTGGGATCAATTCACTTGCCTAAACATACATGGTTGGCATCATTTGAGACAAAACAGGCTACCTGGGACACCTATATGGAACTTTCCTGTTAAAAAAAACTTGTATCTTTCTGGAGTGACTAGTGTGCTGACTAGGTACCTTCAGGGCTCACAAATACCACAAAGCACGTGTTTGGCAATTTTATTGCACATCTCATTTCTTTCATTCCAGTTTTCATTGTCTGTGCCTCGCAGATTTGTTTTAATTTACAAGTGTAGTACAAGTCAGGTAAAACACACATTTTGCTACAATTCTGTTTATTTGTAAAGGATGTGCACAAAATCCCATTCCCTAAGAAAACAGTAGAAACAACCAATAACATTTTTAACTTACTTGCAATGTCTCATTTTCTTTCAGCTCTCAGGTCAATATTTCATATTTCTCCTGAAGTCTACACTCTTATGACTGTTTCCTCTAAGACTCTGTCTTATTTGTTTTGATGATCTTAAGGCAGTCGTTCAACCCTGCATAAGATTCAAGAATTTTAGATCCACTTGACTTTGACTAGGGTTAGACCTTCCAATGCCCTTGGATATTGTTTTCTGCCATTTCCAGGTATCTCTCTGCATAAATATATCTTTCACTTAACTTGCTGAATACAGAAACATTACATAGATCAGTGATAACTGAAGCTGAACAAGACAAAAGACTAAGAAGTCCAGTAAGATATACAGACATCCTTTAGCACATGTTAGTTGCCAATGAAATATGAATCTATTTCAAGACTCACTTTTATTTTGTGGGTTAATTGTACTATATTTAAGTTCTCTCACCAATTCTTCCTTTTCTGCTCATAGACTTCATGTAAACAGCCATAAAATTATGTGGGTTGGAAGGAGCCTGTGGAGATTGTGTAGTCTAATCTCCTTCCAGGTAAGGCAGGCTACGCAGGACCTGGTGCAGTCACATTTGGTGCATCACCAAGGATGGACACTTTACATGCTTTCTAGCCAACTACTCTAATGTTTGTGGGTTTTGTTTTTCCTATATCTAGTCAGAATTTCCTGTGTTCCAATTTATGCTTATTCCTTCTTGTCTTCATGCTCTGCCCCTCTAAAAGCCACAGAGTCCTATAAGAAGCAGAACAGGTTACCAGTCTGGGTACCTGTGATTTTTATGAGGTGATTGTTATTACTGTAGCCTTGCATACAGATATAGGTGTATTAGGGAGGGTTTGGAACATACTGAATCTTGAAAACCATGACCGTTGCAAGCTCAACAAAACTGATATTTATTATGAAGAGGTGGTCAACAAAACAAACAAACCCAAAAGGGATGAAGGAGGAGAGAAATAAGCCCCCAGCATGACCTCCCCAGTTACCCAGCTGTTGCCCATAAAGTTATCTTACCGACCTAGCATCCCTATAATTACCCACAGCAGAGGCTGCATCCTTGGCGAGTCAGTAAGTTCACAAACTGGCAGGCGTCCCCGCCAAAAGGCAATGTTGTCCTTGGTGTGAAGCTAGCTCACCTCCAAGAAAGCACTGTCTGCTTTTATACAATTAATGGAGTGACCTCAACCTCCCAGGTGTGGCCAGCACAGCCCAGCCAGAGGCCCTCAGTCCCACCCTCTTGGTTATGTAAGTGCATCCCTTGAGCGCACGTGCGAGAACTTTGGAAATCCCCTCACGCACGCACAGTATGCCTTGGGGGTCTTTTCTAATTGAGTCGGGGGTCAAGCCTTCCTCCTTTCCTCTTCGGTTTCTCCTTCAAATGCCCTTGGCAGACAATGAACCAATAGTAGAACACCAATTAAAATATTTTATACAGAAGTTCTCCCTCCAAGGACAAATTCACTGTTTTATCAGTGAACTTGGCAGGGAGAATATAAACTACTACAGGTGGCTGGGGCCAAACACAGACCAAAAGTATCATCATAAATTCACCCTGCTACATACAGGGTTTGAATGATCTCTTGTGTAATTAAAATTTCTACCTCAAATTCTAGCGTTATCCTTTAAAATTAAGCTTTTGAGACATAGTTACATCTTGTATAAAGACTTGAACTTAAGAAATACAGATTTCTTTGAATATTAATTAACTCTCGCTCCTTTTGTATTCTATGTTTGCTCACTTCCTTGGAAGTTTTTAAGGAGAACTGGTGAACAAGTTGATCAGACAGATGGATAGGCAAGCAGCACTATTACAGATGTTTTAGTTTTGGAAAACCAAATTAAAATGCTAATTTTTCATTCAAAAATATATGTCTTTAAACCCACTTCTTAATAAAAAGAAACTGATGAATTTACTTTTTTTCTAAAAAATTTCTCTTTTCAAAGTGCAAAATTGGTATTAGATTTTGCAGTTTTTAAGGACATATAACAGAAGATTAGACTGTTCCAGAGAAAATTATGAATGCCTGAATGGGTTATTTCTACTGCTACTCTGTTGCTAACCCTGCAAGGTTTTGTTGTGAGACAATTACTGACCTCCAAAAGAGCAGCTGGGCATGACTTGGAAACGAGCAGAGACCATGGTCCATTCTCAGTAGGCAGTTTTGGAAAGTAAAGAGAGTTTGGATAGATATACACAGTCTATTCCATATTGTTGGCCTTAATGGGAAAGAATAGTCATTTACCTGTTAAATTTTACTTGTACAGACTTTGACATCTTTTACCAGATAGAAATAAAACAACTCAATTCATGTAATTTATTATACATGATATTATATAATTTATTCCTGGTGGTTCTATTTTAGAGAGTGTCACAATTCCCAATACAGAAACAGTGACTCAATTTCTGATCTTGACAGTTTATCTTTATTCCTTGTCGACTGCAGGTCAATGATGGCAGTGCTCACTTTACTTTTCTCACCTTGCCGTGATTAAAAGTAGAATTTGTTTATCAAAGGTCTTAAATCCTTCTTCTCAGCAGCTAGTAGTTGCTAATTCATCATCTTTGCTAGAATAGGAATGAGATATAGAATTACATTTGTGGAGAGTACTGAACAGTTTGAATTCAACACCAGGAACTAGCTTCCTAAGTCTTATTCATTTGGCATCACAACAAACTCTGCATTCATTCATGCATTGAGCAGATGTGTTGTGCATCTGAATGTCTAGTCCGTGAAGATTTAGAGACTTGGGTACCTGGGTACCATCTGTACCATTTAGGGTCATCGCTATTCTTGTCTTGCAGCAAGACCCTGAACTCCAGTTGTATGAAGAGAGGGGCAGGCAGAGCCAGTGGTGTCAAAAACCCTCACGATGGTGAAGGCTGCAAGATTCTGACTTCTGGTATAAGGCAAACAGCTCCTGCTCTGCCTGCAGTTTGGCAACTACAGATCAAGGTCAGTGTTCTGGTTGCAGACAAGGGGCTGAGAGCTGTGCCTGAAGCACAACCCAGGCTTGCTGAGTCTTAGCCCCAGCAGCACACAAGATAATCGGTACACTCAAACAGAAGAAATTCTATTTAAATGTAAGAAAAAACTCACTGTGGTCAAGGTAGTCAAACACTGGAACAGTATGCCCAGGAAGTTTGTGAAATATCTATGCTTTGAGCACAGGTTCATAGTAGATGATATTCTGAGGCCCCTTCCAACCTCAGGAATTCTGTTTCTCTTTACCATAGTGGAAGGTTGTGAAGACATATCAAAAGAGGATAAATTAGTCAATGAGGAGCGATAAATTATGAGCTTCTGGTACCCAGACTAGTTCATTAAGAGGTCCATATGACCTGTGTATTGCTGTGCAGGCACATTCATATGTGGAAAACATCTAGTTTTGGATCCAGAGGGAGCGTAAGGAAAGTCTAGTCAAGGCAGTTCTAGCCATAGATAAATGTGTGATTCAAGAAACACATTTGAATATTGCAAAAGAGAGCACTTGGGGTATTTAGTCACCACCTAAATTAGGTGTAAATCAAATTTTTTTTTCATGATTTTTTTAAATTTCAGTTCTTGAATTTTCTGTATATCCATACTTTAATTGCCTAAGATGCTCACCAGTTTCCGTCTTCAGGCTTAACCATGCACAACCAACATAGAAGTGAAAAAGTTCACCTCCACCTCCAAAAGAGATTTTTTACTGTCTTTCTATACATTCCTACCTTTGAGGCCACATAGTTGCTGTTGTTCTGTACCAGCAGCCCTGCATTCTTAATTTGAATATGTATGTAAAATGGATGACCCTCACCTTCCCACAGTTGTGCAACTATTATAACTTCAAATAATGTTTTGCAGCTGGGGCACGGGGCTGAAATACTACATGTGGTTACTTACTTCTTTCTATGTGGTATCCTTCATATTACAGTATGTGTCTGCTGTTCCTCAGTAGGGCAAATATTGACATACAGTATTTTTCTCCCCTTTAGCTCTCACACTTCCCTTTTAGCCAGATGTAACAAACTCTTTCCTAACCTATTCTCTCTCTACTGCTATATATGTTGACACCAATGGACTTGTGAGTAAGTAGGCCTGTCAGCAGTGGATATTTTTCTCTTCCATTGTCGTTGGAATAATGACATCTCTTGCTTTATATGGTTTTGTGTCCTACAACTCAGTAATCCAATGCAGACCTTACTGTCTGTCTGCAAGACACCAGTCTGTAATTCACCTAATAAGCCTAAACAAAGGAAATCCCTTGACTTAAGGACAAGAATGTGTCCTGTGTTCTTAGTATTCTGCAGACTAGAGAGCAAAATTGCTCTCCTCTTTAAAGTCAGAATGATTACCCATACCTGCATGGCTATATTCCTTTAAAATGTAGGAAACAACATTCTACATAATTATTTTACAACAGCAAGATTTTATGTGCTATTTTAGATGTTTCCCTTGTTTTTCATTTTAAAAGAAGAATATAAACTTTCTAGAACAAAACATGCTGAGGATGGCTTTCAGCTGCCACGTTCTTAGCTTAAGCCAAGTGCCTTGGAAGTGCAGGTATGTTTACATCTGGGTTTTATTTCTGACCCACCTTTAATAAAGGTGCAACAACGATACAGCAAAACACAACAGAACATGATAATATATGGCACATAATAAAGAACTGCCATAAGTACACAGGGGGCTCAATTTTGCTTTCACTTTATCTCTGCAAAAATCCATTGTTCAACGCTAAACCTTTACAATTGTCAGAGTTCCTTTTGGTTCAAAAAGAGACATTTTCCAGAGTAATGAGGTCACTGGTTCCCGTTTGCCATTCTACAATATTCTGTTTATTCCTCGAATCCCTGTTCTTTCAGCAATAGCTGATGCTCTCTGTAGCTGTTACTCCTGGGGGAATTGAGACTTTAAACATTCATTAAAAAGTGAATTGCTATTGTTGACAAAATACAGATGGCCAAGCATGAACTACTGACACCTATGAGAACACTTCCAGTGCAGTACATGGTGGTGTGGCCATGTGAGCACTCTGGTTGCTTTTACCAAACCAGTGTGTCCTTTTTTAACAGACTGGCCCTGCTGTGTGCTCATATTCTTTTGCCTAAATATGGCACAAGGTGCTAAAGTTATTTCTTTTAAAAATGAACTAAACTTATCTCTGCTTTAGAGAGTGAGAAAAGATGTGCTCTTTCACAGCAAAACTAGTAGTGAACAATATTCGTACAAGGCTCAGCTCACAAAATAATTACCCAGAGTCAAAGCTCTGCTTCAGGCTGCTGCAAACATAACACTCGATGGCTCCCAGAGGCTCTGTCTAAGTGGTGGGGTGTGTGCCATAACCATGTCCCCGATCATCTGGGGGAGACCTGGCTGGGCCGGAAACTGGGGTGCAGGGCTGGAGGGTGGAAGGGAGTTAATGTGAAGCCAGGGTGCAGCTGGGACACACACACACACACACACACACACACGGCTGTAGGAGCTGGGAAGCACGCCTGTATTCCACAGGTTAGACACAGCCAGAGCTTTAAATCAGCCATGTATTTAAATAGTTTCTTAAGCTGCAGCCGACAGACTTAGTCTCTGAAGACTACACCAGGGTGTAGCACGCAGCATTACACTTGCATAATTATATGTACTGCACTCCAGGTTAACATGTGGAAAAAGCTGAAGGAAGGCTCTAGCATTTAACGTTTTCAACTTTGGGAATAAAATGTGATAAGCTAAGACTGAGACAGTAAGATGAAACTGGTTGAAATGTTTTTCCATCTTTTTCAACACTTGTAAAGATAGATATTTTGGATAGATAGGTAGAAACTGCATTGGCTATATGAAGCTTTAGATTATTTGGGGCTTAAGGTGTTTTGCACTTTTATATCTTCTCCTCATCACCAATACAGCTTCCTTTTTTTTTTTTTTCTCATTTTTATATATATGAGCAAGATTTTTCTTTTTTTTCTTTCACTGTTTTGCTACTGATATATTTAAACTCTTCTTTTTTCCCCCCCATTTTTTCTTTAGAGTTTTGTGGTCCTCTTTTCTCCCTCATACCCATTTTTTTTCGTGTTTTTGTTCCTTTCTAGGTGCAGAAAAGTGCAACTTGCCATTGTTTTTCTTTATTTTGTTTTAATGCATGTGTGGTTTTGTGTGTGCATAAGAGAGAGAAGAGGAGATACTGTGAGGCTGCCAGCAAAAATCAAAATTGGAGGAGACAGGAGAGCAGAGGGAGTAAGAGACTGTCTTATTGAACTTGGAGAGGAATGAGGCCCACCTGGGGCCGAACCAGCTATTGGGAAGATTAAGGAAATAAAATAATTATGGAAAGTTAGTGCTGGAATTGTGAATGGGCCTGAGAGACCTGGCTGAGGCTCAGGAACTGGGAGTGGTGGCTGCTTGAGCTGAATCAAATACTCAAAAATTGAACAAATAAGGATACAGTAGACATGCTGAGAAATTGTACTTATGTACTTCGACTTGACTTTTTTAGCCTTATGAACTGAAAGACAATAACTCTTTCTTTTCAAAAGAATGGAATCCGAAAAATGTAAACCCAGGTCTATTTGGTGAACATTTAAAGAGTACTATGACCAAATAGCCAGAAACAAGAATCCAGCCCATAAGGAATAGCTCCTCCAGTCTCTGACCTTTCAAATTGGAGCAAGGCTCTCTGCACAAATGCAGTGAAACAGAAACGGGGTCAGCACAGTTAAAACAGACATAGCTGTGAGCTTAAGGTTCCTGCTTCTTCCTAGTTTTTCATAAAGAAGACTTAAGGTAATCTCTTTCTAACTGAGTTGGTATTGTCTGCTTCTGAAATTCATTATTCCAAAGCTAATGTTAAAATTTAAAGAACAGCACAGTAGCTTGAAAATTCATTTTGCACATAATCATCCAAATGACTCTAGTGTACACTACAATGAGAATTTAATGTTCTGTCTTTTACTCTGTGGTTTTTGTGTTGGTATTTCTTTGAACTGTCAAAAGTTCATAGAAAAACACAGATTTTAAGAAATAGAAGTATCTTCCAACATGCACCTTTCTTTAAAAAATAAACCCAAACACTTTAGAAATTGTCTAATTTGGCTTCCTAATACACTTTTCATAACATCAAGTAGATTTATTTGGTAGCATGTGGTTTTTTTAACCTTAAATGAGGTGTGGCTAAAAGTTTAGAATGATTTCCTCAGCTAGCATACATTGTCACAGCCATTCACTTCAACACTTTAAGTTCTACTTATATGAGCAATAGAAATAGACCAGCTTAAAAGGTGTAAAAAGTTGGAGGACAAGATGACGATGAGATGGTCAGTGCAGCTTTCATTATCATCTGTCTGGATTGATATATCAATTTGAATATATAAGCATGCTACTTATGCCTTATTTTTCATATTTCTTTGTAGATCCCTTATTGGCTATTTTTAACAGAATGACTGGATTCATGGCCTGATGCTATGTGTGCAGCTCTTTTCGTCTTATGGCATATAAAAAGTTTGTAAATACAGGGATATTTTAAAGCTGGTCTTGTATAGGAAATAATATGATAGATAGGTACGATGGAACTTTCCTATGAAAGAGAAGCAAGTTTAATGCAGTGATAAGTGTAATAGAAAAATTCTTGTATTCTAAATCTCAGTGAATAACATCAACACTTTATGACTGAGGGATCTGAGGAAGGATGGAGCAGGAATAGGATGATAGTGATCAGAGTCGGACTTTTTTCTTTTGCAAATAAAGAGGAAAAAAACAAAAAGAAAAGCATCTATTTTAATCTCTGTATGCTACTTTTTTTCTAATCACAACTTGCACCACTGATAGAGTATGAGAACAGGTTATTATGAGATGGCACAATTCATGCTACCAATTTTTGTAGGTCATACAGTCCTTACCAGATGACTGCAGAAAGCATATGATTTTTAAATGCTTGGAGGGGCCCACCAGATATTAACTTAAGAATTATTGGTTGT